TTTTTAAGTTTTATAGGAGTGTAAAAACGTTGATTGTGAGCACATTTTTAGTAAGTGCTTCCGTGCTTCTTAAAACTGGAATTTGGTCAATGATTTTACAACTTAATAACGCTACAAAAAGAAGGATTAAATTCAGTCATAGTTTACAAGAAGAAAAAGACAGTCAGTATCTTTGACTTTTGTTGGTGCTCTTTGATATTTGTCGATAGCCATTACATATATTTTGGAATGATCAAAGTTTTTTTTCTAAATGTATAAAAAGGGAAGAACGGAATGCTAGTATGTCAATATGAGATAGCAAACTAACAGCACAATACATCTATGTAGGTCAACAATAATAGACAAAATTAGACAAACTAACAATCGCACACATTTCTCTGGAAATACGACAATTCCTTGTTATTTATTTCTTTATTTTTCGAATTACATGAAAATATGTTTGTCAAAATTAAAATAAATAATAATATTAAACAATCAAAAGTACAATAATTGACAGGAACAATAAAAATTGAAAACTATAAATATTAAAAGGCAAAAATGATAATAAACAAATATCCATACTTCCGCTCATCAGATCGTATAGATGCTGCAGAGTACAATGTTTTGCTATGAGAAAAGTAAAATTTATTTAAATCAAAATTGAAAAGGAAGTGCGCAACGTCATAAGATACAAAATATTCTATAATAATTTAAACATTTCATTAAAATCCTAGAATAAGTGTATGTTACAAAGTTTGGCGAACGGACGAGTGAACCAAGGACTAGACATCGATCACTATATATCTCAACCTCGATACAGGGGGATAATGCAATTATAATCGCTAAAAATTGGCACACTTAAAATACGAATAACAGAAACAATAAATTTCTGTGAATATTAATAATTTTGGGAAATCATGTTTTCGTTGATAGAAACCTTGTATTAACACAAATGGGCATACTTTTGGGGAAACAAATTTCACTTTACTCGAACTGTGTTTTTATCAAAAGTAACAAACGGTCGTTATTCCGATATTCATTTGCTGTGTGCTAATCAAACTCTGTGTATGAATTAAAAAAAAATATACAAAAGGTATACGTCAAAGATACAGTAGCTCAACGAACAAATATAAACAAAAACGATCCACATACACAATGTTAAACAATAGAATGGTGTCTATACAATATTTTAAACTGTAGTCTGATTGTAACCTTTTACAACGCCATACACCAGGATATGGTATAATAGGCTGTGGACTCCCGTACTAGAGGCCAGCATACTACCACGAGACCATCGTAATGGCCCACCATGTCTTGGAGTTCAAAAAAGAAGAGAACTGTATGAATGAATAGGAGAAGATAGTTACATATTTTTTTATAAAAGGACAAAAAGGAGGACCTCCGTTTTCATTTTATTTTGCTACATAAAGAATAATTGTCTTAAACAAAATAGAATTATTTGAGATAGCTTCTATAGCAAGTCTTTTTCATCCCATCCGTAATATAACTATACAACTAAAATACTTAGTTTGTTTGTAGACAACAATGGTACCATACAAATATTAACAATTGTTCATATAATAACTACAAATCATCTTCATATTTGCGGGGAAGTTATATTTAGAAAGTAACACCGATCCAAATAATAATTACAACTTAACTTCACATTTGCGGGGAAGTTATATTTAGAAGGTAACGCCGATCCAAATAATAATTACAACTTAGCTTTACATATGCGGGGAAGTTATATTTAGAAGGTAACGCCGATCCAAATAATAATTACAACTTAGCTTCACATTTGCGGGAAAGATATATTTAGAAGGTAACACTTATCCAAATAATAATTACAACTTAGCTTCACATTTGCGGGAAAGTTTTATTTACAAGGTAACACTGGTTCACTTTTATACATGAATGTTCAACAAATGCGTAATATGTACATATCAACAATAGCATAAATAAACTATATAAAACATAAATATTGATCATCATCTACTGCTACTTCTTCTCAATCATCTTTATTATTTCATTATTTGAAGCAATTTATTTCTGTTGTTTTGGAAACAACACAGGTTGGCTGAAAAATATGACTAAAGGACAAGGAGGAGTAACATTATATTCGTCGAAATTTTTTTTGTTATATGAACATTAAAGTATTCAGTCTCTGTTTTGAGAAAAAAAGATGTTAATTATCCCTTTGCTAAATGTTTCCTGAACTGACCCATAATGAGAACAAATAAATAAAAAGAAAGAAATCCATTTTCGTGATAGTTACGAATGATAACCAGGTAATAGTTAAGGTACCAAACACCTTGACTAAAATTCATTTGGCTCGTTTAATTTTCATAAAATTTGGACAAAATATTTACTTTGACCCTTTGACAAAAATATAAAAATTTCGAAAAACACTTTATCGAAAAAATTTCATTGGATATATAGCAGTTTGACAAACACTTATATTGATCATTGTGAAGCTTAATATTTCCTTAACAATAGAATATGATTAAAATGTTCAGCTGATTTTTACAGAGGTATCTCCCTGTAGTGTTATGTACTACCTTAAAAATGGGTTATTCGTCTATAATTAACCCATGTGTACGAGTTGTTTCCATCAGGCGAGACCTAAAATTTCATTTTCAATGAAGAGCAAGCAGAAAGAGCAAATTATCTGTGCGTAAATATATGCAATCTGTATTTTTTTCAAATCTTTTAACTATACCTAATCTTTTATATAGCTCTAACCTTTTGATATAAACAGTTATTTTTCAATAAAAATTGGTTAAAACGCCTATTATAATATACCACTTTCAACTTAATATAATGCTTTGTATGGGAAGCAGTCCATTTTGTCAGGTTAAAATCCAGTCTGCAATCGGCAAAGGAAAACAACTTTATTAAAAATGTGTTATGACAGAATAAACAAAATCGGTAGTTGGCAAATAGGCACATATATGATTGACTATAAACTTTTTTTTAAAAACACGATTATTTAGTATACAACATTGCTCGCGCTTGTAAGACATTTTAAGTAAATAACATATTCAATGGTAAATCGAACACTACTTACAGATTTAAATCACTCTTAAATGATGTTATCTCTTTGTTCAGATTTATTCATGGGTTTGAGAAAAAAAAGTTTCAAATGGAATACTTTCGGGATTCAGCAGTATAATTCTTTCGTAGAAACATATTGATTTATTATACTATTATGCATTCTTAAGAAAAATAGCTAATTTATTTTGTATTTACGGATGATGCAGAAATGCAACAAAAACGATTTCTCGAATTTCTAAATAAATTCTCCTAAACTAGTAATGAATGTTCAGCTATATGTAGGGTGTCGTGGATTTTGACATTTTGATTTCGGATATTCTTCGCTACGTAATTTGCAACCATTTATCAAAATTTTCTTCTATAGCAACGTAGAGCATTGAAAAACATTTTTTGTTTAATTTAAACTAACTAACAGATCTTAATCATTTAGACGAGAAAAAATGTCGAACCTTTTTCTAAAAGTGGGTTGTAATTGACTGAAAGTAGTTCCTGATTATTGAAAATTTCTTGTAAATTCTTAGCTGAGAAAAAATGCATAGACCATACATTTTACTAATGCATTTTCGAGCTTATAATGTACACAATGCGATATTTTATGATTATTTGTGCAAATATTTCTAATTTATAAAAACAAAAGCAAAACCATCTCACAAAATGTAGTACAATAAACAACTAGTTACTTATACGTCTCTATCCGTACTTTTAAAGCTATTCAATTCATATATGATAGTACTGATTGTCAAAGGACTGTATGTTGACTTCTTTCTTTCTAAAATTCTCATTTCTCATCGGGAATTGCTTAATTGATGAAGAAGGTTATTTAAAATAACGTGTCTTTAGCAGAATCGGTGTGATTTTAGTTACAAAATTTCGTTTTCTAGGTTGAAAGCCGTTCCTGTATGCCCTATAATATTCCTATGTGTATTTATATTTCTAGTTTGATTGACATATTTAAATGTTCTATGCAACCTAATTACCACTAAATTAGTTTTATCTGATATAATATGGATTACTTCACTGCTTCAATCCATTTCAATCCAGTTTATTACAAGAATGCGTGACAACAATTAAACAATTAGTTACCAGTGCTGCTTTATAAATGTATTACAAAACAAATAGAAAGAAAAATTAAGATAATTCAGCAAACTATTGTTTCGCATTTTCTTAAATTTGACGGCCTAGATAAAGCAATGTTCATGCAATATTATAATTCTTTCCGGATTTGAACCTAGGTATTATATTTTACTTATCCAATATTAATTTAAAAAATATGAGGATATTTGACTTCAGCTAAGGATTTGTGAAAGTCTAACCCGGACTTGATCTCCATATTAAAGTAATTAAATCCTTTTGGATCCTACAATTAAAGGAACATATCGTTCGGATATTGGTGTGATTTGCTGTTTCGATGAGTAGATCAAAATGAGTTATTGCCAAAATTCTTGCTTTAGAAAGGCAAAATTTGATTTCAGATTTATCTCGTCATACAAAATGCATTTAATTGTCAGTTTGAAATAATTGTTAGGTTGAAAAACAAAACAATCATTCTTTCTGTTTTGTACCTGATAGCACTAAAAAATTGAAAATATAATCCATTGTAATTTTATTCGTCCGAAGTGCTTTTCTGGATTAACATTCATCAACAACGCTTAAAGCCAAATATTTGAAAGCCAAAAGTATAATTGTACCGAAACACGTAAAAAGCAGTACAATAAAAGGGGTTCAAATAATTGCCAAATGCATCCATGGTTATTAAAGGATCTTAATATTCAAAGATAACTTTTTACCCCAGTATAACAGAAGTGAGAACGTGTGGTCATATTTAGTGGGGTTATTGTTAATGATTAAGTTATACATTCACATACAATTGATATAAAATAAGTATTTGAGTAAAAAAGAAATTATCAAATATAACTTAGATTGCTACATTTTCATGTTTTATATTTCTTTTTAGTTTAAATCTCGTATGACACTCTCTTTATGATACAATACTAAATTTGATGAGTATAAACATTGTCAGGACACTACAACGATTGAACGTTTTATTGCTATCTTCGAACACATTCTTCTTTATAATCAAGTTTGTTCAATCTTCGAACACATTCTTCTTTATAATCGAGTTTGTGCAGTTGAACTTGCCGCAATATCCTTTAACATGCATGGTGGTGACATCAATACAAAGTCTGATTCAAATGATGGAATCTGGGAAACATGCAACTCTGACAAATGGATATCAACTAGCCGCGAATGTACATTGCCACCAATGTGTTCATTGTCGTTTTCATCTGATGCTCTAATTTTATGACTGTTGATTTTGTAGCTTGCCATTCTATTGAAGCCATGGCAACAATTATGGCATTTGACAACACATGCTTTCCAAGGAAATCGCATTAATGCTGATCGAAAACTTTTTGCACAAGCGCTGTAGAGTACAAAATTTACACTGAAATTTATGTAATATATGATCTGAAAAAACATCTGCCATAAAATTTCATTCCTTGTTGTAAGGTACGATTTATCAAAGGCACTGCGCAATATCGACTGCAATCTGATCACATGACATGGCAAGTTCAATACAAGGAAAACCAAAATTACCACTACGATCATTCTTTTCAATTTCGACTGAGCTTTCATGCCTTGTTGAGTTGATGATGATGTTGTGCCACTAGTATGGTCCCCTGTGGTCAAAGAGTTGGAGGATTCGCTGTGGCAATGTTCGTCGTTAGCTTCATTGTTGGAACGGTAAAATTTGCTGATATCTATCAGTAATCGTGTGATCATGAAAATTATCATCGAGAACGGAATAATGAGTGTGAGCAAAGTATCCAAAACGGTGAAAATCATCATTTGTTCGTAGTTTTGTGGAGCGGACACGCATTTCTTCTTCCCGTTCTGTGCAGTTACAATCTTGGAGGTCCAGAACGAGAACAGGTAGAAAATGACAGCAAATGAAGTTAAACCAACGACTCCTTTTCTTGCAAAATTTGGACGACATACCTTAGATCCCAGAGATGAATAGAATACTGCGACATACATATCAGCGGTAAAAGCGTTCACATACCACACTGACGTGAAACCGAAAACATATGTTAGAAAAACCACTATATGACATATTCCTTCTTGGTGGAAGAAACTGATACCAATAATATCAAACCAGCCAATCCACACACACAGTAGAAAACCTGTATCAGAAATTGACAAAGCTGCCAGATAAATTGACGTCGATATCTTGTTGAGTTTTGAGAAGACAAAAACCAAGAAGGAGCAAATGTTTCCAACTACGCCCATCATAACGATAAAAGGAATCATATATGTGTTTGAGTATTTTACAATCAACAGCAAAGGACTATTAAAGTTCATGTATGGTAGTGTATAATTTACTGTTGCGTTCGCCATGTTTTGGATGGTAAATATATCCGAAAACCTAAAGTTCAATTGTATTTTCCATAAAACATGAAGTTCAACTGTATTTCTCTAACTGCTTTTACATCTTTCTTTATGTGGGTTTCTGGTGCTGTAAATACAAAACAAAAACAAACGCATTATTGCTAAGATAAGGAATATTTGATATACATGTATTTTTAATAAAAATGTTAAATCAGAAACGCACAATAAACGCAGCAAACTTGTTTCGTTTACTTTAATTCTTTTTCCGACGTAGTCAGTAATTGTTTCGAATATTTTCTACCATTGATCTAATGATGCTAAACTATGGTACCGACGTGGGCGTTGTCGCTGATCTGTTCTCTGATTGGGCGAAGATGTCAATTTTGATGTTCGAACATACGTTTATTTTCTATATTTTATGATTTATAACAGTTTGTAATTTTAAAGATAGATATCTCAGTTAAAAAAAACTATCTTATAACAATAGTACAATTAAACTATTCTGAATAATTAACTTTATACTACACAAGCAAACATTTACTGGTGGAAAATTACGAAACTACACTAAAACGAATCCATCCATATTGCATTTTTCGCTGGGTTGTAAAGGACGTAAACAATCAGACAATACAAAAAGATATGCACACGCTACATAAAAATAGAATTTTTTTCTAATAAATGTATTTTTTGTTACATTGAAAAATAATACCGTTAAATATTATTGTTTAAGACATAATTTCAATGTATTGTATCAGATACATATTTGTAAAATCGTTGCCAATAAAACGATATATTCTGTGAATTATTCTCCGAGTTATTAAACAAATAAAATACATGCAATTTTTATTATTATTTTTTTATCATTCAACAAAATATTGCACTTCCGCTGTTATCAATTTATTTCACTTGTGCAACATTCTAGTGAAAGGTCCCTGTTTGCTAATACGTGCCAGAAATCAAGGGTTTCTCGCTGGTAAGCATAATTATATTCTATATAAGTTATAGTTACATCTAAATTATATATCATTATCAACCATGAAATAAACAAATATTTATGAAAATACTCATTTAGTATTAAATTTACATAGAAATGTTATCATTTATCAGCAAAAAACTTCTCAGATTCTGGCAATTAAAACACCAAAAAGACAAGATAGTACAGGGATTCATATTTTCGGGGCTAACGCCCCTCACATATGAGAGGCTTACATCTTACACATATATCACATAGCATGTATGGTAAATATTCTTTCCGAAAATCGTTCTATGTTTTCCGTTATTAATTTGCTAGTATGTTCTGAAATATGTTCCTGTTTCAAAATTTATCACACCAGCTCAGGTTGATTTGAAATGAAATATGGTTTTGAGCTATTCACGGGTATGTCTGAATTAGGAATGATATATGGTTAACTTGCAATTATTACATTAAACAGTGTTGAACACCTGTAGGTGATGCATAAAGTTGTCCCAATTGGTTTTTTTTTTGTATTTATATTCCATTTACCAATCACAATTTACAATGACTTGAAGCTGATTTGTTAGCAACCTTCAACTTTTCAATATCTTGCATTACATGTATAAATTTGTCTTCATAATTTATCATTCTGAGATATCTTCCTGGTTCAAAATTTATTACACCAGCTCTTGTAAGCAACCTTGAACTTTGAATATCTTGCTGCATTATATCGTGTCTCTTAAGTTTGAGAATAAATCACTTATGAAAAATAGAGAAAGCGTGCTAATTTGCACTATGTTAGTGTGGAAGCCGTACCCCACATCGCTTTTATCTATTAAATGTGATGTTAATGTAGGTTTTGTTCCAGTAACAGTTTTATATATTTCTTATTACTTGAAAGCATATAGGATGAGAGGAAGACACTTGCAATAAAACAATGACATAAAATATCAGAGCATGTATACTCTTGTGCATAAATCCCAAATATGGTTTTCCTAAATAAAATCTTGATTAAGGGTAAAATTTGAGAAACAGGCTAGATTCTATCAAACAGAGGCGAAAGATACCAAAGGGAATTCAAACGCATAAGTCTGAACTGACAAACTGACAACGCCATGGCAAAAAAGAAAAAGGCCATAAGACAAACAACAGTATATAATAGATCCTTTATTCGGAAATAACTTTCTTGTTTAAAGATTTTTTTGTAAGAAGCTGAAATATGAAAATTCGGAACTAGAAAGTATCTATTGTTCTAGTGAATTAATATTTTGACACCATATCCTTGAATTTGTATGTGGAATGACAACAATTATTCAGGACAGGATAAAGGGAAACATGTGAATCTAACAAAAAGGTATCAAATGAAGATAAAACTGTAATTATATTAAACAGTACGAAATATTAATAAATGTAAATTTATTTATAGCTGTTTGATGGTTTGTTTGTATGTATGCATGTGTTTACATGGTATTTGGGGAACATCCAGGACAGCAAAATTTGCACTATAAAGATTGTTTGAAAACTCTAATGAATGATTTTTTAAGGCAAGTAAATACCTAGTTCATTTTTAACTATACATATTAAGTAGGACAATTCAACCATCATTGATCATATAGTATATATTAGAGAGTTGGTATCATATTTCATAGCTTTTTCTACAATAATGTCCTTGAAAGAGGGTTGCTTCTTACAAGGATGTTGTTGAGTGATTGATTTTTAGCGGTCAGTGCTTATATGGAAAGCAAATTAATATTAGCTTGAATAACTTTTAATCGCATGCCGGAAGGGTGTAAAAAGAAAATAACACTTCATACATTTTAAGCGCTTTTCTGGATTGACCTGCTGCTGCTGGAACGCTCAAAGCCTAATATTTTACTCTATATTCCTGCATGGTGGTGGACTGCTGTTTGTCTTTCATTTTTGAGTTTTCGCAAGGAATTTGTAAATAAAACATGAAAAGTTTGGTTATAACTGTATCATGTCTTACACAATCCAGTGTTACTTCAATTTATGTATCGAAGTCGTAGTGTAACATCATAGTTATGCAAATACCGAGTAACACAAAAGATTGCTTTGAGTCGAACGTTCTCCTCCGAGCTGTGGTTTGTGTATTGTCTTTCATGATTTCTTTTATAATTAATTTCCCCTGAAACTTCAGAACTAATAACCTTGTTCAATATTTTTAAAGATGTTTAAAACAAATAAAAACTCATTAAAGATACTAGACTTGATAAACCAGGAGCGTTTTTTGTCTTCATATGTTTCAGCAGTGGCACTCGAATCAAACATGATTGAGGTCAAATCAAACACTATGTTGAGAAGATCAACACCAAAAACATACAATATGCAACTACTTGTACCTGTTAGTCACCTTCTCACTTTAAAGTTCTGCAATTTTGTTTACGTTTTAAATTTTCTAATCAATTTAAACATTCGCCAGTAAATTAATTTCGTTATCACATTATATTTCATCTTGCAAAATTTGAATCCCATTGTGCAAATAAAACAATGATATTATCAGGCAGCTTGTTTTATTCTATAAGTGCGTGATTTATAAGATTTCTAATTGATGTGAAAGCATTTGTGTTAATCTGGGTCAATAGTACATAACTCATACAAAGTACAGCATTACAAAACAGAAAAATTATATTGGGTATCAATCATAAATGCTCTAGGTAAGCAAGCATTAGCTTCAACGGGAGGATTTGGAATAAATAATTTGCCTCCTAAGCATTCCCTGATGAGATATATTAAAATTTCTGGAATAAGGCAATTTGTTATCTAGCATAATCTGTAAATCTGAAACTTTTTCTAAGTTAAAGCATTTAATTTATAAACACTTAAAAGATTACGAAAAAAATTACATAATGAAAACAACTTTTGAAATATAAAGGTGATATTTATAGCTTCTTACGGGCAAACAAAATTTCTTCATAAAAAGCCGTAATGGAAAAACGAATGCAAAATTATAACAAAAATATTTAACTCCAAGGTAAACAAAAAAGAAGGAAGTCCATAATAACTGACAAAAATCAAGCGTTAGACTTTATCAACCAACGGAACGAATGGAAAACAACTGTCATATTCCTGACTAGTATAGGTATTTCCCGAAGAAAATGTTGCGTTAACCTGGTTTTATAGCTAGCTAAACCTCCCACTTGTATGCCAGTTGTTTATAGGTTCTTTATATTGACAAAATTGGGAGAGCAACCCAAACAGACATGATAGGTTAATGAGACAATAATTGGAATCCAGCAACCAAAACTGTTTAAACATACATAACAGACATACATCACAACTGACTAAAATATCACTTCATTCGCTCTTCATTACCAGATGACATGTGTAAAACCCCAAAGCATAATGCGTTGTTGAAATTTTGTTTGTATCTCGGCAATCGTTGACCATTTGTACGTGTAAGATTGCTTAAATAGAATTAAGGAGATGTGATAAAAACTCATCAAAGATAGCAGAATTACAATGCCGTACGCCAGATGCTAGTTTCGTCTACAAATATGTTGCGAATGAGATAACTATTCAACATTGTCCAAATGACGTGTATTTAAGCAACTAAATGTAAAGATCATCGTACGGCTTTGAACAATGAGCAAACCGATAATGTATTCTCAGCTGTAATATGCCCCGACATGACAAAGTACGCGTAAATGTGCTAAAAGTTCAATCCTTTTCATTCCGCACGAGAATCTGATGTTATATGATGACATTAACGAAGTCACTCGTGATTTGCCTATCACAGAAATAAAGTTTGTGTTTAGTAAATCTGTCAACTAAATAGAGTTCAATTACAATATTGGATTTAATTTCTTTCTATGTGATTTAACTTTAGAATGACTTTTGAAGAGAATGCCAGATAATTCTAAATTTCATTTTATCGATGAAGCAGGTTACCAACGTTTCCGTAACAATTTTCACATCAATTGTTTTGATTAAGTGTTTTCTAAGACGCCTTCGATTAACATTCCACTCATATATGAATATTCTTACAAATACGAAATTTTGCTTATTACATATAATGATAA